GTGATCTCATATGAGTACTCCCCCTAATCCGTATCCTAATGCATTCATCTCCACCACAAATGGTCTGCTGAAGTCAGGAAGTGCTAATATTGGCACGCTGGTTATGTTTTTTTTTTCAGCTGCTCGAAGGCTTATGTTGCTGCTTCCCCCCAATTAAAACTATCCTTCTTCAACTGCTCAATTAGTGGCCATGCTATCGTGCCATGCCCTCGCATAAACTTCTGGTATTGCCTAGTGAGACCCAAGATCCGGGATCCCTCTTAACTCCTTCAGGTTCTTAGGTAAAGGCCAATCCAACATAGCCTCAATCTTGGACTGGTCTTCTTCTACCTCTGCTCTGCTTACCACGTATCCTAGGTACTCCAGCTGTGGCTATGCATGAAAAGGAATATTTTTTCAGGTTGGCATCTCCTCGCAGCATTACCCTCTTCCCCTCCACCTAAATCTCCATAGTCAAAAATTTTCGGCCCATATTTGCTCCCCAATTGTCTGTAACCACTTCATTCCTAGGATCACTTTAGTGCTCCCAAATCCAAGAGAAGAAAATCCTCCACTATCTATATGCCTTGGAGTGTTAGTAGCAACCTCCTGCAAATCCTCCTCTTCTCTACCTTCCCTATCCACACCATGACTCCAAAGCTCCATGTGTGCACCACATTCAATCCCAATTGGTCCACGACCCAGTTTGAGATGAAGTGAGTAGCCTCGCTATCTATCATAACCACCACTAGCCATTTCCTGATTTGTCCCATCACATTTATGGTATGATTTGGAATAAATCTTACTACATCGGGGTGTAGGTGCTCTCCTCTCGCTTCTGCTTCCTCCTCACAAACCAGAAGGATTTGGAGTGTGCAATCCTTGCACCAATGGCCTGGTGCATACTTCTAATCCCATCGAAAGAACAAACCCTTCTCTCTCTTATCTTGCCCCTCTGCCGTTATGAGACGCTTGAAGTTGGCCTCGGGGAGAACTCCCTCACTCTTCTCCCTCGGTGCCTCTTGCTGAAATGACTCCGTCTGGGTCCTCGGTACCATGGAAGTCGAGACACTCTTGTAGGAGCCTCCCATGACTCCGCTCCTACTGGTCCTCTCTATATGTCTCAGATCCTTCTCTATTTGGGCTAGCCGCATCATCTCCCTCAACCCCTTCGGTCAAAACAATCGGAGGTCTGCCCGTATATTGGACTTTAGGCCCCTCATAAAATTTTCCTCAACCACCGCCTCTGAAATCCCCCTAAATCACCCCGACACAACTCAAATATCTCCTTATGCTCCATGATGGTCCCTTCTATTATCAAGACAAAGAATTGCTTGTGTAGGTTCCTTTCTCGAATGGCTTGGACATGCTCCAACAAGCAATCCTTAAACTCCTCCCGAGTGTGGATGAAATATCTATCCTCTCTCCATTGGAACCAATCTATAGCTTTACCCTCTAGATAAAGCCCTGCAGCTATAAGCTTGTCCTTCTCGGTCGATACATCCACCGATTTTTAAAAAAATTGTTCTTTATGGATTGTTGACCAAGAAATTAATAATAATTCTATATCGAATATCTGACCAACCATCTGATATTATTGTGACTCTTGTCTTAATCTAAGTCTTCTTAACACCATCCACCATTTTTGAAGTTGTCTTGACCTCCTCATTCAGCATCCAAGTCCTCAGTTCATACATGCTTGGAAGTTGTAGTCCTCTTTCATCCCACCCATGGGTATCCTCTTCAAATTTTGGCATATTCAACTTCCTTACCCTAGCATCTCCACTCAAACTTCCTATCCCTCAACCCCCCCCCCCTCCTGCATCGAGGTTGGGAATCCCTCTTCTCTTCCATCCTCCTTACATGACTCGATCACTATGGCTCAGCTTGACCCCCTCCATCTTTGTCGCCAACCCCCTTTGCCTGAAATGCCTCCCATAGTAGTTGACCACCATGCCACCCCACCAAAAAATTCTCTTCTTGCTGTCCCCCTATTCGGAAACCCTGATTCACCCCTTATCGGAGCCTAAGAGGTAGTTCTTGATGAAAGAAACTCTCCTCGTCGAACTCCTTCCTTCTGATCTACTTTCCTTTAGATTCGGCCAAGGGAATCCCGATCAAATCTTGGTTAGGGTTAGTGATCAGAATCGTTAGTGGAGTTTTGGATTGCATCTCCATGAGCTTCCTTACCATTTCCTCCAACCCTCGAAATTGGCTCTCCATTCGATTCTTCAGGGTTGAAAACTTTTCTTTGATGGTTGAGCACTTCTCCATCCTATATTTGATTTGCTCCACTTTAGCTTTCATCACATTCACCTTCTTTGCTGCCATCTCTCTAAAACCTTGCTTTGATACCAATTTGATGCGTCTTGGAAGTAAAAACATCAAAATAAATAGAAGTAAAATGCAAGAATAAAAATATTTGGGCTGATTTTTTTATTGCTTCCTCAACAATAACAAAAGATACAATTGATATACTTGTTGCGAGGTAGATTAGCTCTCCCATAAATCATAGCCTCCACTAGTAAACTCACACGAAATCCTAGAAAATAAACTCAACACATGTAATCCTAACCCTAGACAAAACTCCCCCTTAAATAGCCCTCACACTCAATAAGCACAATTGGAACCTTTCTAAACAACATAAGTACAATTAAGAAACATTCATAAACAATTAAAACATTCATAAATAGCATAAACGTAATCAGGAAGCCTTCCTAAAGAACTCCTCTTGATTCCACCTCCTTACATAATGAATAATAGCTCCCATGGGACCCACAAGAGGGTCCAAAATCTCCCCCAAAGGGTTGGTTTGGTCAGGGCTGGGCTGACCGAGGTCGGTCTGGGCTGACAAGGTACCTCCCTTGGCGTATCATATTATTTTTTGTGTTGGTAAAGATTATTTGGGTTAAAAAATGTCTATTTCTTCTCAACTTATATTAGTTAGTACCCCGATGTGTATTCGCTACCATCCACAAAGATTATAAGATATTATTTTTAATTGCCCAATCAAATTTGAGTGCAAGTTTTAGTATTTGATTGCGAAGCAGATTTAGGTTCATTTTGAGCTTATTGGGGCGGGCACCCATTATCATCCTCATGTATTAAAGGTTATATCACACCATTGAAGGTCAATACAAGTGAGGGAAGGGGAGAGAGATGAAACATAGGGAGGGGATATAGAGAAAGAGGGAGGAATATGGATGTAAGTTACCTAATTTTGTAGAGTATTTAAAAAAACATTTTTTACATGGGTATTTAAGGTTGTATCGTATGTGGAAGGACTTTTATAGATGATAGAAAGAGAGAGATACGACTATCCTAATATCCAAGTATCTTTTGTGAGGGAGGGGCAGGGTTATGCAATGGGATCTATGTTTTGCTTGTCTTGGACTTGCATTTCAACTACATATGCAAGGAATTTGTTGATGTATGCGAGTATACTAGGTTTATTCTCATTTCAAATTGCTAAAAATATGTTTTTTTTTTCTTCCCATATCTATTTTTATTTTTGGATTAAAATGATTTTAACCTTGGTGCCTTAAGCTAAATTTATCCACCTTTGTTTCACACTCCCTTATTAGCGATATCAGAGCACTGGCTTAAGTGGCAAAGCATGGATCCCATTGTTGGGCATTCATGATGTAATGGTTTGGTTGACTCAAATTATCGGTGTTGTATATAGCACTTTGTTATGTCTAATGCATAATTTCGTTTCTTTCAAAAAGCTTTTTAATTAAGGTGAAGTGATGGGTGATTCGGAGTGTTCTTACATGAAGTGGGAAATTGCTCGGGTATATGAGAATGAGATTATTACTTATGTTCTTTTTAGTTTTATTAAAATTATGTTGTAAATGTACTATTGATTGACCCTCGCCTATTAACTTTAAATGAGCTTTAAGTTAGCTTAGAGCCTATTTAGGGTTCTTATGTTTTGTTTTTAAAAATTAAGTTAAAATGGTAATAGAACATTATTTGCCAATTTGTCTATTTATTTAAAACAAGTTTAGCTATCTTAAAGTTTTAGAAATTTTTTTTGCATGTTTTGTAAGTTTCCAAAATAGATTTTTTTTTCTTTCAACAAACAATGTGCTATGAATTTGGGCCAAATGAAATCACATAAAACACTCGACTGCTAGACCATATAACAAATTATTACATTTCGAGGCAATAAATGTATTTAAACTAAATCAATAAAAAATGAAACAATATTATGTTTGGATTTAATCTTTTTTATAGATATCATTCAAAGTCCTTCATTTATATGATTAATCATAATAATAATGTATAAAAATATAAAATTCATGATATTATAAGAATTATCAATACAAAGAATTATATCATAAAAAATATAAATATATATAGAATTAATATTATAATATTTTATTATAAAAGATTTAATAATAAAAATAACTGAAGCAAAAAACCAAACTTTTATTTGTCTTGAATTGCAGTTGTATTTTTATGGTCATGTTGTTTTTTCTTTTTTAGTTTTTAAAAAAGATTAAGTGCATGATTGAAATAAAATTTGTTTTTGCTTCAAGTAATAACATAAGAAAAGTAAATTGAAAACTCAAATATGAAATAAATGATCCCAAATTGCCCCTTGGTGCTTTGAGTGCTTTAAAAGATACTCCAATATTAGTTATAGATCTTATATTAATTATACAATGACGTTTTATATGAAGCTTGGTAGAGGGTTGCCATGAAAAGCTTGAAGAGGTGATTGCTTGGTTCGAGAAACCATATGTAGCTTCATAAATATTGATTGGCTAATGGCATTTTAACGAGTTTGGGTTCGAGAAACCATATGCTCCCCAACTCCTTTGCAGTATGTGTAGGCTTGCCGAATCAACCCTTGCCTCCATCATTGGTTATTATTTAAGAAGTTTGATCGTACAGCAAGCATGTCGTTATTAATTTCATACATTTTTTTTTCATTTGTGTGTTTATGCAGTAGAAGCTGCAGACTTGTCGTTTCCATTGTGTGTTTGATACTGACCTGGTTCCTTTGTTCCAAGGTTGTCAAAGTGGCAGACTTTGGTGTTGCTCGTTTTCAAAACCAAGGTGGAGTCATGACTGCAGAAACAGGAACGTACAGATGGATGGCACCTGAGGTGTGCTCTCTTTGCACCATTTATCAATTTTTTTTTTCATTGGTTTTATTGATAACAACCATTTTGTAATCTGATAAAAAAGGACTTTTGATTCCATTCTTGATGGCTCGTAGACATGCATCAAACCATTGGTTTTCTAAAATTTTGTGATATTCACACCGATTATGTGATAGCAACTGTCTAATCAAGTTGCATGTGCATCATTGATGGCATGATCAATTATTGTTTTGATTTAATTTGTTGATGCCATAAGAAAACATTTTGCTCATATTTTTTTAGATTATTTTATGTATCTTTTTAAATCTTATCATGATTATGGTTTTTATAATTGCCCCAAGTACCTTTTTGCTCTATAAAAATGGACCCTAAGAATATTTGATTTTTACTCAAGCCTAACTTCTCACGTCTCTCTCTCTCTCTCTGTCTCTCCCTCTCTCTCTTCTTCCTCTTCAACCCCTTTAACCCCTCTCTTACTATGCCTTCTCTCCCCCCTTAATTCTCATGCTGCAATTCCTGTGCCTTGTAACATTTCTCTCTTGCTTCTTTCCATCCTTTCAGTTCCCATTATTTCTTCAATTTCACCCAGCATAATTCCTGTGGTTCTGACTCTTCCTCCTGTCTCCTTCCCTGTCATTCTTTATTTCTCTCCTGTTACTGGTCAGCTTCTTTCCTACTTGCTTGTAGCACAATATCTACTTTAAATTCTTCGTGCCCTCCCTGGAATCCTCTGAATTCTGAATTCAGATTTCTTATATCAAATTGCTGATTCAACAATTTTCATTGCGTCTATGATCTCTCATACTGCACTAATTTTTGGTTTCAGAGAGGAGACCTATTCTTTCAAGACCAGTTCCTCCTAGAATTCTCTCCTTATGCCTTTGTTGTGACGTCTACATTGTTTCTATGCTGCACTAGTATTTTGGTACACCTCCAGCTTACCGTCCCTGCTTAAAACAGCTGTTAGGCATTTTAAAACAGTCCTTAACCATTAGAAATCTCACTATCAACCACTTAAAACTGAGACCTACCACCTCAGGTCCTTTTAAACTTATTTGTATCATCATCTACCTATCTTTTGGTGGAAAATTTAGCTCCTTGCCGTGCACAGTAGACAACCAGTGACGTGGAGTTGTTTTGACATGACATCAACATGTTCTTAATGAGGAGAGTTTCCTTATTTCCTATTGTAACATCTAGGAGGTCAAAATTCATCGAAGGAGAATATGTAGCAAATAGAGTTTTGATTGATGCTTCTTAAAAGGTGTAATCCTTAGCTTGAAAATTCTGATTGAATATATGTTGGTTGGAAAATCTCACTTCATGCTTGGAAAACTACATATGCTTGGGTAGTTTTTGATATGTCATACTTAGGAACTATGTTTAGGTAACTCCGTATAAATGGGAATTAATAGTTTATTGCAATCTTATCTCTGCTTTAGCATGCATGAGTGAGTTGTTTTTCATATTGAGAGTGTTTTTTGATGACATTAAATCCTACTTATTACAAATCATATGATTTGAATTTAATTTACTTTAAATTTAATATTATAAGTGTTACAAACTAGAATATACGCTGCGGTAGAGTTAGAAAAATTTCATCTCAGCGTTGTACGGATATCTAGCACACAAACAGGGGAGAAATAATAACACCAGAATTTTTACGTGAAAAACCTTGGAAAGGGAAAAAACCACGGGGCCACACCCAATTGAAAAGTTCCACTAGTGTTTGCTTCAGATACAAGAGGTTGACTCGTCCTTAGAATTTAGGACGATCATATTACAATGATTTACTTACAGATTGAAGTCCAGTTATACACAAGTTGTGTATTCGAATTGAATTCAAAGTCACTTAGAATTCCGACGTCACTTGGAAATCGGGCAGAGTTCCGGCGTCACTTGGGCGTCCGACAGAATTCTGGCATCACTCGGAAATTGGGCAGAGTTCTAGCGTCACTTGGGCGTCGGGCATAATTCTGGCGCCACTTGGGCGTCAGGCATAATTCCAGCGTCACTTGGGTGTCGGGCAGAATTCCGGCGTCACTTGGGCATCGGGCATAATTTCGGCATCACTCGGGCGTCGGGCAGAATTCCGACGGTGGTCGAGGAGTTTCTTTCCTCCTATTCTTCTCTTCTTCTCTTCTTATTATTATTCTTCTTCTTGCTTGGGTCCCCTCTCAAGAGAAATGAGGGGTCTATTTATAGATATTATGGAGTTGCATGACCTGTAAATAGGTGAGAGATCAGGGGTAAATGGGAAGTGGTTGGATGGACAGCCGATATTGAATCCCTTGATCGTGTACCGTTCGTCAGACATGTGAAGGTCTTAATGATGCTGGAATTTGGTGACCTTGGGCTCGTTGGATTCGTCTCGTCGAGCCGCTCGATTCGACTATAAGCATGTTATGTTTGGAAACCGTTTGGTAACTCAAACTGTGGTTCGAACTTTCCAATAGCGCTTCGGGTCCTTGATTTGGACTCATTTGGGCTCGGATTGAGTCGAATTTGGTGTCGTTGTGTTCGTATTTTCGAGATGCTCAGTTTGACTATTAGTTTGTTGAAATCGGAGTTCAGGTGATCCCGGATTTAATTTTTTATGTTTTCGGCTTAGATTTTGCCTCAAGATTCATGCCCTATCAAGACGATTTTTTGAGGATATATCAGTTATCAGCTATTAGTTTCTATTGTCAATTGAATAGTGTTTTTATTATTCCATTAAAATTGTACATCCTCCTAGTTACATCTTTGCATTTCTAGATTATCAGTTTTTACCTTAAAGCATATGGATAGTTTCATCATATCATCATGATCATAAGACTTCACAAAATGCGAGAGTATTTGGATCCAATATTATAATTAATAAATATACCATTTAAAAAAATTATGACTAGATTTATTGAAATTAACAGCAAATTGATTTTCTATGTGGGAACAAGTTAAATATTGCTAGAAAAACTCTCAGGGCATATATTGTTAATTTGCGCTGTATCCAATATTATAGTAGTATAAATTCTTATTGATATGCTGACAACTTTTTGGATCTACATAGTTTTCACAAGATTAATGGTGGCCTCTTAATTTAGCTCGAGGAAATCAGCACTAATCTCAAAGCCTCAATTAGAATCTAATAGCCCAACTTAGATCATCTCCAAAACCAATCTCTGAGATATACAACGACCCAATTCAAGTATCCCGTAGCACTAATCTCTATGCCTAATGCTTCCATCTATTCATCCATTGCTTTTTGGTTTATTGTTCTAGGACTTTATCTTTAATATCAATGTTGTGGTGTCTTGATCCTTTCCTTTTGATTGGTCAAAGGACTAAAATATTACAAGCCAGCTTCGTAGCTTGGAATTGTCATGATAGGAATAAATACACGGTCAACATTTTAAATATCATTTACTAACATTACCTTATATCAAAATAATTATTCATATATTTTTCTCATAATAGCTTTCAATATATTAAAAGAGCTGCTAAATTATCAAAATTCATTTAATAACAGCAAATTTAATGTATTTATTTCAACATTTCGAAATTTCAAATACCTATTAGTTGAAGCTCCAAGTTGATGGTACACAGTTTCTCTTCTCCTACTCATTCAATTATCAATATTTTATCTTGTATTATTAATTAAAAATAATAGTGAGCTATCAATATAACATTATATGTTTAATTGCAATTCTAAATAATAATAAATTAAAAGAACAAGGAATGGCATGCATGCATCATAGGAAAGTACAAACAATTCTTATCGTCTTGATATCATCAAATTTTCTTAACACTTAAAGTGGTGTAGATAGAATCATAACTTTCATCTATTCTATAGCTTATCAAAACTTTTATTTTGTCCATTATCTAATTTATTTTCTCGGGAGCATTGTTTAACCCAATTTACCTCTAGTCAATACTTTCCTCATCAGCACAATGGGGCATATAATAGGTCCACTATTGTCTAAGGTGGAAGGCACCCACTCACTCTCGGCCAATACTCCCTCATCCACAATACATGGAATGTTTATCATAGAAGGGGCTGTAGATCAACGACCACGATTGAGTCCTTATATTATTAGTTGTTATGTGTGTTGTAAGTGGTTTAATTTAGTTGGTAAACTTTTTCTTAATGTATAAGCCCAAGGGCATTTGTGTCTTTTATCTTGTCATGTGGTGGTGCCTATATATATGGCTCTCTCCCTCCCCCTTGTAAGAGAATGAAGATTAATTTTGAATGAATTCTGATTTTAGCTCTTTTCTCTTGTGTGAGAGTGAGTGTGGTGGAGTGGTGAAGCCTTAGGAGAAGGTGAAGTACCCAAGAACCCATTAAGGTGAGCTCTTGGTTTTCCCATTGTATCTCTTCCCCTTTCCTTCCTTCTTCTTCCTCCCTAACCGACGGTCAACCCCCTTCCCCTTCCACCGCCCACGGCAAGCCTACCACTTGTCCCTTGGAACTCTTCATGTTAATTAATGGGAAGTTTACCTATTAATCTCATCTCCTTATTTTCATTTTCAAAATTAGTTTGGAATTGGAAAAGCCATAACCCTTTCACTTTCCCCATGGTTGGCCCACTCTTAGAACTCTTCATGTTAATTATTGGGAAGTTGACCCATTAATTAACCCTCCTTATTTTCATTCTCAAAATTAGTTGGGAATTGGAAAAGCCACAACTCCTTCCCTTTCCCCATGGTTGTCTCACTCTTGGAACTCTTCAAGTTAATTAATGGGAAGTTGACCCATTAATTGCAAAGTTAACTTTATCTTCCCTTCCCAAAACAAAATTTCCATTTTCCAATACCACTCTCTCATTCCCCTAAGCCCCACCACTCTAATTAACCTCATACCATTCCTAATCTCTCCCAAATAGCAAAAATCGTGGCTTCCCTCCTAAATTCGGCCAGCATCTCTTCTTCTCCACTGTGAAGTAAGACACGAGGAAGACACTACGGAGCGAGCATTTGAAGATCAACGGGCTGAGACCCCACCACATTTGAAGGAAGCTTCC